GAGATAAAAAAAAGCTAAGGTCGACGCGGTTAATGGACTATTTTTGGTGAACAAAATCATAAACGGGCTTTAATTGAGAGAAAGTCACAAGCAATCTCCTTTTTCTCAGCTGACAATCAAAAACAAAAAGAAACAAGAAGATTACTATTTTTTTAGGCTCACTTTGTTTTTTCTCTCATGGGTTAATGCAGAACACTCTATCTCTATATATCACCACAAAAAACCGAACTTGTCAAAAAATGACTGAAACCCAGCACAACACAAAAAATAATCGAACTGAAAATTTGATACAATGAAAGTAACCGAACCGAACCACATCGAATTGCGTAGTTTGGTTCGACTTTTCAGTATTCTCTTGGTTTTTCCGTACAGTTGTATTTAATTTGATACAATTATGCAAAACCTCACCGAAGAAAAATAAAAAATAAAGCTGTATATTTAACAGATAAATGAATTTATAGCTTCTGATCATTTTCAACAATAAAAAATAAAAATGCCACATTTATTAGGAAATGAAAAAAAAAAATTGGGGCAAACAGTTAAGTGACAGTATAAATCGAGCATATTGAACAAAAGAGTACCTCAAAATTCTTGCCTTGAAGAATTAATTTCACAGAGGAGATTGAACCATTCCATGACATTATAACCCCAGAAGTTCCATTAATTCCATTTTTCACCACAACTGTCTCATGGGCCTTGAGCCCTAAATCCAGAAAGCTGAATATTCGAGAAACTGGATTGTGATTGTTGTCTGTCCAACCAAATTTGTCTAATAAACCAGATGATGAAGATGAAGTAGAAAAAGAAAGGGAGCTTGTGATGAAGAAAAAGCTCTTCCATAGATGGAGCTGCAAATAATGTAGTCATTTAAAAAAAACAAAAAAAAAAAAATTATTGTTTGGCCTCTTGGGAGATTAGTTTTCTTACAGTGGCATTGAAAGAATTTTTTCACAAATCAATAGAAACAGTGACAATGTGTGGGGGAGAATTTCCTTTTAGTTTTTCCGCAATTTTTATTTTTTTTTTTGGTCGAATTTTTGGCTATATTATCCAGATTCAGATAAGGAGGACACGTGAGCATGTCAGTATTTTCCGTTCTGGTCCATGTTTGAAAATGGGCCAAGATTGGAGGCCCACTGCCCATCTAAAATGGATTGAGGCTACAAAATTTATGTTTGGACCCGAGTTGTTAAAACGAGTTCGCTCCTGAATTCGACTCAACTCCTTTATCTCGAGCTTGTGAGTTCGACTCAGCTTAACTCAACTAAATAAAAGCTCCTTTTTTAACCTTAGTAACGTAGAACTAAGCTCATTTAAATCTCTAATCGGGGTAAAAGAATTGGTATCGGTTCATTTGTGCGATATTTATCCTAAAAAAATATTTTATTTATTACCATTATTATAAATTTGTCACTGGCCAGCCATAAAACCAAATTGCCTATTGATACAATTTTTGTATTTTAAAATAAAATAAAAATAAAAATGCTTTAAGGATTTTTGGTGTCTAATGTTGGGCCCATTAAATAAATTATTCTAGAAACGTGCTTGGTACTCTTCCCAAGTATAACTAGTGTGTACCCCATGCGTTGCACGGGAACAATATTAAATTAACAATATTATAAATAGACCTCGAGTTTGAGTCACTCAATGGTAGAAGTGGAAACTACTATTGATCCTATTTAAAAAGAGAAAGAAAAGAAATAATTATAAATTAAAGAGGAGGATAAACAATACTTAATAATTATAAATTAAATATTCGGGGTCAAACAATGTAAAACTATTTTGTATAAGAGAATATGAAATTTACATTATTTTGTATAAGAGAATATAAAATTTGTATGTTTAATATTAAAAACACCTAAAATATTATATTAGTATATGTAAAAGTACTCAAAATTTTCTATATTTTTTTTGAAAGATGTGAAGTCACCTATAACTTTTATAAACAATTTTAAAAGGAAAACATATCTAAAAACATAACATTGTGTAAAAAAGATTTTTCTGGACTATTTTGTAAAAAAAACATGTTTACAAATATTTAAATTTAACATCAATTATGTATATGTGTATATGTATATATATATATATATAGACGAATATGTAAAAAAATGTTTAAACAATTTATTTAAAATATCTAAAATATTATAAGCATAATTTAAAAAAGACATTATGTCAGATGATACTAAATTTATGGCGTTTTACGTTGTTATCGAGGATGTATTGTTAGCTTATAATATTTGTAAAAATATTAGTAATTAGACCGATGAAAATTATCGAGGATGTATTGTTAGCTTATAATATTTGTAAAAATATTAGTAATTAGACCGATGAAAATTAACTTTTTAAGGTAGATAATGGATTTCTATTAGCAATTATGAATTAGTTTTTATTTTATTTTATTTTTTTAAATCGTTATAGATAAGAGATGAGATTTTTTAACTATGCAATGGGATTTTGTAACAGATAAGAGATAAACTTTGATTTCGAAATCTTGTAACAGATAAGAGATAAACTCTAGATTGATGCTATGAGATTTTATAACGCGATTTTCAATACAGAAAAAGGAAAACAGATTCTAACACAATTAATCTGCCGATTTTGTTGGCTTATCAATATTGTCCAACAATTACTATATATAGGATACATTTAATGAATTTGGCGGAAAAATATTTCTAAAATTGTAAAAAGGTTATTCTTTTTATATGATGATAGATTTGTGCTTGGTACTCTACTTTTTCACGTTTCTAACTGTGGGCCGATAAGCCCAAGGGTTTCCATAAATCTGCCCAAGTTTGGGCCCCAGGAATATTAAAACAGTAAAATTAGTGAAAAANTTGCGCATTGGAAGATAAGAAAATATAGGATAGTGAGATGTCGTTATTGGCAATACAATCTGGATTCCATACGAGAAAGCTGTCTCCATATAATACTACATCATATTCAAATGGATATGGCCATTGGTAAAGGTGTTACATTAACCTAACATAGTTTGGCTCACCTCGGTTCTTAAAGATTTGGTAATCGAGTCAAATGTGAACTCATTTAGTTAATAACGAGTCGATTTTATCTCATCGAGGCTCGTTAGATTTGAAAATTAGAGATTTTTACGTAATATTTTGAACTATTACGTTAATTCAAATTGTTAAACGTCGAGTTCGATCTACTTATTAGATAAATGAGTCGAACTTAAACTCATCTAGTAAATGTGTCGAGTCCGGCTCAATTCGTGAAGGTTCATTAGACACGTTAATTAAATTGGGCAATTTCCTCAACTATTATGCTAGCTTGGATTGTAATGATGATTTTAGTTCGTTTAGTTAATTTGATAAACGAGTCGAGCTTGAAAGTTTAAATCCGTCTCGACACGTGTACAACTTTAGTCAGAGGAAAGCTTACCATTGCGAACCGGTAAACTATAGTGATTTTCTTCTACATTGCATATGTAATAAATAATTTTTTTTATTTTATCACCCATTTTTAAAAAAACACAATATTTCTTTTAAAAGAAACACAATATTCAAATGATTTCGTTTTTTTCCTACATCAATTTCAATTTGAATACTAACTTTTTTATTATTATTTTTATTCAAAATACTTATAATAAACTTTTATAGCTATTAATAATTATATTGGACTTAGAATGAATGTAAATAATAATATTATATTCATATACTTACTATTTTTTATCTTAAACAGTATAAGGTGCGAGATGAAATATTGAACACGAAAAGTGATTCCAAAACCCATTACCGCCTAATTATTGATTATAATATAAAGGAAAAGAAAATAAAAAAAGAACAATATGAAGATAAGCCGCTATGCATTTGGACAGCCCCAAAGCCACAAACATAAAAAGCAAAGATATTTAAGTATTCCATCCACGTGTCACATTACAATCCATCAAACACAACAAAATATCTTAACATGGACCCCACAAAGCACAAATACAGCTTGTTAACAATTAAAAATATCTCTGGATATCTATTATTTGTAATTCTAATTGGATGTGAGATTAATATCATCCATTGATTTTGAAGTCTTTGAAAATTTAATAATAATAAATTTGCACCACCAACCCAATAGAAAAAATATATAAATAACAAATAAAAAATAAGAAAATTATTAGACCCTCCATTTTCTGATTTGGTAGCCAATTTTCAGCCACTCACGAGACTCTTCTAGATATATTACGTTACAAATCATTTTTTGCCCCCAATAATATTGCTATATTAGGTTTTGGCCCCACATTTGGTACTATAAACCGTCCTAATGAATAGAGTTATGTTTATGTGTGTGTAGATCTTAACATTTTGATGTTTTGCACTCAATTAAATAAAAACCTAAAAAAAATCACTTAAGCATGCAACATGAGTTTGGATTTTATTAGCATACAAAATATTTGATGATTTTACTCGGACAGAACGAACAGATAAAAATTATATAGAAGTTGAAAGAAAGATTAAATTGAACTTTTCAAACAAATGACTGAATTGCAATAAAATACAGAAAATAACGAACTAAAATTTTTATGCAATGAAAATAACCAAACCAAAACGCATTGAATTGCGCAATTGTGTTCGACCATTCAATTTTTTCTCCAATTTTTCTATACAATTGCATTTAATTTAGCCTAATTCATGCAAAATCATACCAAAGCAAAAAATAAAAAAATAAAAAATAAACTTGGAATGGAAATAATTGCACAACATAATACGACAATGCACTGTACATAAATCGAAACCGAAATGGAAATTGTCTATATTGAAATAGTCAATCCGAATTGCATCGAATTGTACGACTTAACTTGATTTTTCCGGTTTCAACTTGATTAAGTTCACCTCTAGAGTGTAGTTTAGTAATGTGTATATCATCAAGTAATACATTAGTTGGTGAGCAAAAAATCTAGTTAGGTATGTAACTTTTTAGGTTGGAGGATACAGAATTAGAAATACTGAAAAACCCTGGGGTGGAGCCACGATTTTCTGATTTCTTGAGGGTATAATATGAAAAAAAAAAAAAATAACGATGACGAATAGGAGTCATCAGATGTGAGAGCGGTTAAAGATGGGCCAGCAAAAAGCAGCCACAGGATCAAAATTCATTGGGCAAAAAAATAAAATTTAAAAATGGGACCTCCAAATTCAGATATTTTGAGCTGAGGAAATAAAAAAAGGCTCTACAAAACTTAACTAAAATATCCAAAAATTTCAACCAATACAGCAATTTCTCCACGTCTCATTCTCTGCAATACGAAGAAAATAAATCTTGGAGAAAATGGGAGAAGTTGTGGTGAGCAGTGAAGCTGGGATCGAAAAGCAGGTCAAAAATTGCAAGATCACAGCTGACGGTGGCGGGACGGCGCCGGAGGTGGCGGCGGCGGCGGAAGAGGCCGAGAGTTCGTCGGTGGTGAGGTGGGAGAGATTCCTTCCGAAAATGGTGTTGAGAGTATTGTTAGTTGAAGCTGATGATTCTACACGGCAGATTATTGCAGCCCTTCTCAGGAAATGCAGTTACAGAGGTTTTTTTTTGGGTTAAATTGTTGCTTTGGAGTTTGTTTGGTTTTTATATGTTAGAGGAAAAATGTTAAAGATGTGATTTTGCTATGCGGGATTGAAGGATTTGGAGTATAAAATGCTTTCACTTCTATGTGCTGGCTTAATATGTTGTTTATTTGATTTATTATGTGGAAGATTTTTTTGTTTCTTTCTTGTGTTGGATACTTTATTGATCAGCTATTTTTAGTCTTAAATTGTTGCAGGCATAAATTTGTTCTATGATTTGGTCTAATTTGGGGTCTCTTATTAGTTCTTGATTTGGTCTAATTTGGTGATTGATGTGGTCTGAAGTATTTCTTAGTAGGTTATTTCAGTTTCCACAGTCATGATCTTTTTTCTTGATTTGTTATTATTATTATATTCAAGCAAGTGATTTTTCTACCCTTTTGTTCGCAATCCACGAATCAGGATACAGATGGTTAAAATTTTAGATATATTTTTTTTCTCAGAGAATAGTTTGCTGTTTTTTCCCCAGATTTTTCCTCTCTCACAGCAAAGATACACAACAAAGTGATTCATTGTAGCAAAAAGTAAAAACTAGTTTANTACTGTTTCGCCTGTGGAAGCTAGAAGTTGATTTAGTTAGAAGATGGTTTAACTGGTATACACTAGTGTATATTTGTACATAAGATTCAGAACTATAAGCAAAACTCAATCTAAATCGCATGTTAAGGAAAAGTTGGCATTTTTTAAAGAATGCACATGACTTAGGTCACAAAGGAGCTAAGTAATTTACTCTCAAGAAATTAGCCTAAGATTTCGCAAGAAAAAATTCTTAAATGTTCGATGGCTGCTGTAAATTTAATCGGACTCATTTTTTTTTTATTCTTTTGCGTGAGGCAGTTGCTACGGCTCCTGATGGCTTAAAAGCTTGGGAAGTACTTAAAGGAAGTTCATGCAATATAGACCTCATTCTAACCGAAGTCGATTTGCCATCAATCTCTGGATATGCGCTTCTCACTCTAATAATGGAGCATGAGCCCTGCAAAAATATCCCTGTAATAAGTAAGGGCTAATATGACTAATATTTCCATCTTATTTAGTTTGCACACATATTTCAAATACTGGATAGTTTCTAAATTCTGTTACCATTTTTATTCGGCAAAATGCAGTGATGTCATCGCAAGACTCGGTTAGCACTGTTTATAAGTGCATGCTGAGAGGCGCATCTGATTTTCTTGTCAAGCCTGTCCGAAAAAACGAGCTAAGGAACTTATGGCAGCATGTATGGAGGAAACAAGCTGTAAGCTCTAACCACCACTTTTTTTTTTTTTTTTTTCCCAAAAAAAGTACATGAAAATGCTTGATGTTTAGTCTAATTTCAAAAAGTCCATTGATTTTTCTTAGTTTTTTCGCTTTCACAAATTGTATACTCTATAGGGTAGTTCTTATAATTGTAAACTCTTCTATAGTTTTCTTTTTTCGTAAATTTACCTCACTGTTCTATAAAAGATAATATTGATTTTTTTTTAATATAATTATTTCAGTCGAGCACTAGTGCTGGGCTCGGACCTCCAGACGAGAGTGTGCAGCAAAAAGATGAAACTACTGCTGAGAACAATGCCATTAGTAACCACTCGAGTGGTTGTATCTCATGCATTGAGAGAAATAAGCTGTGCACTAAAAAGGGAACTGATGATCAGGTAATTTGTATGTTTTCTTCATCACGTTTATTTTAATTTCTTGCCAGATATTATCAAATATTCAAATCTAGATTCAATTTAGCCTACTTCTTAAAGTTCGCGTTTTTTTGAACAATTGCCCCCTCGAAATAATGTACGCTTCGTAAAATATTTTTGTTTGTCTATCAGTCCTTACTTTATTTTCTTTTAATGTTGTTAAAACGTTATTCTACAGAGCTCATGCACAAAACCGGAGTCTGAGACTGAAGAAGGAGAAGATAATGAAAATGGTCATTGCAGCTCGAAGAAACAAAAGAGTAAATGTCTTTCAGAAAAATTTAGCGTTTCTTGTGGAGAAGAAGATTTTCATCAAGTAAATGATGAAAAACGATCACATGAAAACGAGAGCAGAGGTATATCATATGTTCCCTACAGGCTATTTCCTTTCTTTTATTCTTCTAATAAACTTTTATTTAAATCATTTCACCTTATGGAAGCAAAACACTTGATAATATACTTGTTTTGCGACTTTCTCATTCTCAATGTAGAAATGCATGCTGAGAACACGTTTGTACTCGAGAAACCATGTAATGAAGCCATTGATCTAATCGGAGCTTTTGATAATCACCTGAAGGGCAATTTAGGAAGTTTACCTCCAAATGTTAGTGCAAACAAGTTTGACATTTTGCCTCTACTTGACCTGTCCTTGAGAAGGCCTCTTTACAATGGCTCTGTGAATCGAGCAAACGATGAACGGTCTAGATTAAACCATTCAGATGCATCGGCTTTTTCGAGGTGAGTTGATTTGTGCCCTGTTTGGTCTTTCGCTTTTCTATGTCTGTTGAGAGGCAAAATTGCATATTAAGGCACCACCTTTAAGGTTTTTGCAATTTAATCACCACTTTTTGCTTTTAAATCACAACGTTTCGTCTATGCTAAGTCAGCTCTAATCTGACGAAAGTCAAATTTATGCTTTGATCCGCAAAATATACGAAAGGTGGTGATTTAAGCGCAAATAGCAAAAGCTATGGTGATTAAATTACAAAAGCCTCGTGGTGCTTTTATATGCCATTTTGCTTTTTTTTTTTTTTAANAGAGAGAGAGAAAGAGAGATGAAAATGTAATAGAGTTCATTATTTTTTATTTATATACTCTCAAGAATACAGTGGCCCGATGAAGAAAAAACTCTTCTTGCAGGTACATTAACAAGCCATCACTTCCCGAAAATCACGTTGCTAATCCCACAATCCAAACAGGATACCCTGAAATCACATTCTCTTACACTCAGAACAAAGAAATATCCCATCCAATCCCCGTCAAAGGTGTAAGATTCGACAATCCAAACAGCGGGTATAATTCAATGATGCCTTCACTATACTGCGCCCAATCAGGCACTTCCTCACTGTCGAGTCCACATACACCTCACCACACAGAGTCTTTCCCCCAATCGGGCTTATTTTACCTATCGGATCATCAGCCGTCGAGTTTGCAGCAGGCTTTAAATCAAAAAATCAGCAACTCAGTTGTTCAAACAGAGAATAAACCGGAAAATAATGTGGAGGATCATAGTGGAAATAGCAATTTTTGCAGCAGCTATAGAAATGAAGACAAAGTCCACGTCAGCAAGGGCCCTTCGGAAAATCTGGGTCATGAAGAAAGCTTTTGCGTTCATGATGAGGCCTCCAAACGATCCATGCAGAGGGAAGCCGCTTTAAATAAGTTCCGTATGAAGAGGAAAGATAGATGCTTCGAGAAGAAGGTAAAATTGTTATGCAAAATCTAAATATCCCTTTATTCCTTTTATACATTATGTTGAGGCAGATCAANGCTTTTCAAGAATCTAATATTTTTAATTTTGCTTGACAGGTGAGATATGAAAGCAGAAAGAAGCTGGCCGAGCAACGTCCGCGTGTAAAAGGACAGTTTGTTCGCCAGGTGTCGAACGACCCTCAATTTGGGAACTCCTCGACTGGTTAGGTGCTCTAAGTATACAAAATTAAGGAGCAAATTTGAACAAGTTTTTGCAGAAAAAAAGGAAAGTAGACAGATCAGTTTTAGAACAACGCGTTCCAGGTTTTTTTTGTTTGCTTTTTTTTTTTCATGTAACTATTACATAGATGATTGAGGATTGAGGAATAGAGTGAGTTGAGTGATTCTAATACCTATTAATTCACCTAAAAAAAGATCTGGCATATAAATATATAACTGTTGTACAGTCTTTTTGTTGTGATTGGCTGTTGTAGGTACTTCTCTACATTTTGAAGTTTTTGCTGCTAACTTGCATATCTTATATTTATTCATTTGTTATTTTGTTCCAGCCCTGTTTTTGAAGGAGTGAGATTTCCTATTCCAATTTCGTGTTTTATTCCATTTGATGCGTGACACGTTTTTATGATGACATCATATTTTTACACGTGTCATGCATTCAACAAAATGTAACACGAGTTGAAATATGAAAATGGAATATGAGATCTTATACCATATTTTAAGGTTACTTGCATGAGGCCACCCATTTCGAGATAACGAATTGCTCATCTTTTAGAGGCTTTCTATAAATGGAAACTCACAACTATGATGTCACATTCAGATTTATGCAATAGCCAATTCCGGGTTGATCAAATTATGAGGTTAATTGCCAGTTTATGCTTGTGACATTTGTTGTGGTTAACTTTTTTTTTTTTTTCCATTCATTTAAGATATGGTCATAAAATCAACTTTCCTCAGATTATCTATTCCTTGCTTGATTTCCACATTTTATATCTCAGCTGAATTAAATTTTTACTTTACTTATGGTTGGAGGAGGGTAAACCTTTTTGAGTTTAGTCAGTTGCACACTTTATTTTGAACTCTAATGGAATGGGAAAAAATGCTGCTACTTGGCCATTTAGAAAGTGACTAATAACCTTTTCATCCCAACAATTCCCACCAAGCCAAAACTGTCTCAATTAGTCCATGGATAATTCATCTTCAAGATATACCAGTGAAATATATGCACGACAGGCATATTCATGAATCAAGAGAATATCTATAGACCATTTGACATGTTTTCATTCTACTTTATAAGTGGAACCTAGAGAGACTTCTATGCATTTGCAAAATTGTTTTGTATTGACAACACATTCTGTGGTGAGAATTTAAGAAAATGGTTATCTATAAACTTTTGAAGTGCTTACATAAATTTGCAGAAGTCAAACCAAGAATATAATGAAAAAATAGGATAACCATTTTCTGATTTCAGATTCACATAAAAAATTTATGTATATAAGGGGATCGGGAGATTGATATTCGATATTATGGGTCTCGGGTAGGCATTGGTTCTACATGAGCTGCATGACCATTTTGCCCTTTGGGTAATGCCTTTGCCTCCATTGAGCTTGAGACAGGGTTCATAGAGATTGACGGACCACCTCACGTTAAATTGGTAAAGCATAATAAAAGAATAATAACGAAATCGACCAATTTCACAGCATATCAAGATTTGTAAGTCATAAAGAAAACCAACATATAGTGCGTGGTGCTGCAATGCACGAAAAAAGCCGTTCAAAGCCCAGCTGTACAATCGCAGACATCCTTCGAAAGTAAAAACAAAAACTTCTGCAACATAAAATAAGCCAACCCAAATTTGCAAACCCCATATCTTAAAAACAGGCTGAAATTGGCTCTCTAATCAAATAAACTGAATCCCATGTCATCATCACTCTCCTCCTTTGGCTCCTCCTGCAGAAGTTTAATCCACAAACAAAACTTAAGTCATTAACTAACTATATCCAACGTTCATATTCGAAAAGCAAGACTTCAACCTACAATACACGCTCAGAACCAGGATTTAACACAATGATGATTCTAAAAGGGTACCAAGATTCACAGGTTCTGGAGCTGTAAACAATACACTCGAGCCCTTATAGAGCCCACCCAATAAACGAGCTCAAGCACAGCTCATTAAGCAGAGTTCAAGCTTTAACAAGCCAATATTTGATAGAAGTTCATAAAACTACATACAAAGTAAAAACCCCTATTTATAAAGCCTTATCGAGCCAGGCCAAGGTTGGCGTAAAGCTCCAATTAATGAATTTTTTGGAACTCACTATACTTGATATGGTAATAACAAGGCTGTCACATTGAACTAATATACAAATGCGTCAGAAACATTTTTGAAATAAAATCCATCAGATTAAAAAATCATTAGCAATCAACCATCAAACAACCTAACCTCAATGATGAGCAATAATAATAAATATAAACGATTGGATAAATAAGTGAAAAGCAGTTTGTACCTTCTTCTCCTCAGCGGCGGGAGCAGCTGCGGCGGCCGCACCCGAAGCGCCTCCGGCCGGAGCAGCCACGGCGACGGCAGCACCGCCTCCGGATCCGACGTTCACGATGAGATCCTCGATGTTCTTCTTCTCGCAAAGCTTCGCAAAGAGGCTCGGCCAGTACGATTCCACAGTCAAATTCGCAGCCTTAACCAGAGTAGCGATTTTCTCCGCCTAAATGATGAATGAAAACAAAGGAAATCGAACTTCACCACACGGTAATTACATGATCACAAATGTTGTTCATGGAATGGAAGAAAACTTACAGTGACGGCGATGCCATCATCGTGGAGGATCAAAGAGGCGTACGTGCAAGCGAGCTCTCCGACCGACATTTTCTCTTCTTCTCTGCGCGGAGGCGAATTGGAGTTCTCACAGGATTCGTGCCGTCGACTGCTGAAATTTGTGAAGTTGGTTAGGGTTTTGCGGGTATTTATACGAAGTTGGATTTGGAAATTGTAATTGTGTCCTTGGGTCATGTGGTGTAATCAAAACAGCCCTGTGCTTCTCAGAAATATCAAAATAGCCCCTTTATTACTTTATTACTACTAGTCTACTACTATGTTAAATGAGACGAGCTAAGCTCCTAATATTTGAGTTAAGCTCAGGCCGATAATAAGCTTGGCATGTTAAGTTAACGAGTCAGACTAGATGATAAAGTTGAAGAAAATTACATAAAAAAAAATATTATCAAGTTTAATGACTTTCAAATGAATTCACATGCGGTTAGTTTCGTTTAGTTGTAGAGTAAACCATTGTCATAACTGGGTGTGGAGATCGAATTGAACGTTTAACAAATGCTCCTTTTACATATTGGTTTCTTCTTTCTTAGCAATTGAAGTTTTTATGTGTCATTTGCATACAATTAAGTGAAATAACTAACGCTGGTATACCTTGTACATTAATTCAAAATACGCATTTTTCCAATATACTAAAAGGCGACGGACGCTTGTTTACATTATGCATAGTCACAATTTATATTATTATTATGCATAGTTTACAAAATATATATACTCTATAAAATGTACTAACTAATATGATTAGCCACAATAATTATATAATCATTGTACATTTCATGTAGAAATAATTAAATTATACTCAAAATTCAAATGTAAAAGAAATATATATATATGAGCGCCTAGACGTCACCTAGACCGCCTAATAAATCTAGGCGAGACTAATTTCAGAACCTGCGGCTAGTTACGCGAGAGCCTATAAGGACTGCCTAGATGAAAACCGGCACCCATACCAAATTTTTTGAACAATGGTTATATACAATGTTGTGAAAAATTAGCCTGGTTTTTGTAATGTTTCTTTTCTTTCCTTTTTTCTTTGAAGTAACAAAAAAAATTCCAACTTTGGGCTTTAAGGAAAAATGCCTAACCATGTACCCAAAGGCAATTCAGTTTCATAAATTTAAGTGTGATTCGTGAACTATGGAAGGATAGGTTCTACATTATTATTATTATTATTATTACTAGACATACTCATGAGTATTATTACAAAAGTATGGTTGATTAACGGTTTAGACAACAGGTGTACTATTTTACATTTGGATCAACACATGTTGATGCATCTGTAAATAACAAAAAACACGGTGACTGCAGGGTCGAATATGGAAGAACCCATAGTAAAACCTCAGCAACAAAGTAAGGAGAAGTAATCATCAATACCAGAGCTTTTGCACCACAAATTTGGGATGCTATAACTTTCATGTCACATCAACTTAATCCCTCTTGAGTAATTTTATACTTCTCTACTTCTTGCCTTTATCACTTCTAGCATCAGAGGATATTCTTGTTCAAATTTTATGAGAACATCAACAACATGCTTCGTTTTCACATCACTAAACCAGAATCAGCATGCACGACCCTGCTAATTCTAGCAAGTAACAGAGATGTGATATTCTCAAGTGAAAAAACGTGCCGAAAACCAACCGAGCACCATTTTCACCATCAAAACGCACCATTATCTAACATTATCTTACATGGAAACAAAGAAGCCAAAAAGACAATAACACCGGCTCACAAAGAAACGAAAACAAGTAAACTCGTGTCCAACTACAAAATTATCTTACAAAACACATAATCTGAATTCAAAGAGCCAATCAACAATACATATCCAATGCCTCAAGATATATAGCAAATGCCCAACTTCATATACACTCTCCCATCATCCAAAAAGTGAAACAACAACACATCCTGCAAAAGCTTTACCCCCCAAAAATAATCACATTATACTATTATAGCACAATATTCGTAAAACCCGATGTAAAAAACTACCTCAAACCTTGAGCATCTGCATCTTGTTCCCAAATGCAATCGCAATCCAATCGGGCTGGGCCGCGGACCACTGCAGCTGATTAATCTCCGCACCTGCTGAGTATACGAGCATTGGGTCAATCCCATTGGGCCCAGCAACTGTGGGCAGCTCCCAAAGCAAGGCCCGCCCGTCATCCCCTGCAGAGCATATGTGCCTGCAGCTCTGTGGGGCCCACGAGATGGCGTTCACGCTGGCCGTGTGCCTCTCGAGCTCGGCCACAGGGACAGCTGGCGAACGGATATCCAAAATCACGACTTTATTGCTGTCCATTAAAATAGTTGCCATGTACCTAAGGTCCTGTTTGTTCCAGGCGAGCCTCAAGAGAGGTGTGTCGGGGACTGGGCTCTCGTAGATGATGGTTGAGTGTTCTTTGTCCCTGAGATCGAAAACCCTAACCGAGCCATCTGCTGAAACGGAGGCGAAAACTCCGGCTTCTCCCCAGGCCATGTCGTAGACTTCTTTGTCGTGGGCGATGAGCTGGGTCTCGACGACGCCCTTCTCGACGTCCCAGATGGTGCAGGTGGTGTCGATGCTGGAGGTTCCGATGCGGCGGGGCTCGGCCTCGTTCCAGTCGAAGGAGGTGAGTGGGGCGGAGAACTCGCTGGCCTTGCTGTTGTTGAGGGTGGAAATGGGGTCG